TTTTTTTTGTTTGGCTTTTTTTGTAATCCATGATCGAATTTTATGTAATCCATGATCGAATTTTATGTAATCCATAATTGAATTTTTTGAAATTTGTGATTTTTTTTTTTAATCCATGATCGAATTTTTTTTGTAATCCATGATAGAATTTTTTGAAAATTTGTGATTTTTTTTTTAATCCATGATCGATTTTTTTGAAAATTTGTTTTTTTTTTTTTTAATCCATATTATTCAAAGAGAAAATGAGAGAAATGATGATTTTGAGGCCACCATATCCCAACCATATTATTCACATATCGAGTCCCAACAGCAACAGTGTAGGGATGAGCACGAAATACTGTAAATTAAATGCTGAATGGCAATTCATGCAGGGAAAGAACATATCAATATTCGCATATTCATTCAAAAACATGAAAATTCTTAATGGAGTACCCTCATTTTTTATTAAATTCCTAAAAAACAATATTTATAATGAATTTTAATAATTTTTTCGAATTTTTTTTAAGCTTTATTCTGACCGATTCACCCGATTCTCGATCAGGATCGGTTTTTTGGAAGCCCGATCCGGGTCACCGATCCGTTTTTTAAACCATTGGATAAAACAAAGCATGAATATTATGAATCCTGAAGAAATCTTAACATTAAAAAAAAAAATTTGTTTTTGAAGGAAAAAAAAAATTGCGAGAATTTTCCCAAACTTATCTGCTTTTTATGAGAAATTTGATAAGCATTTCATTTTCCAAACCTTTGCCAAACTTCTCGAGTTATTTGCCAGTAATTTGGTGACCAAGTTAGATTCATAGAAAAATAAACAAACAATACCAATCAAGCAGAAATTAAAAAGAATTTGGCGAGTGACATTGAATCAAATTAAAAAGAAGAGCATATATATTTTAACACAGAAGCACACACCTTGATATATGCACATCATAAGGAAAATATGCAACACAAGATCCAGCAGCTATGAACCAATACAACCTCACTAGAAAGCTATATTTTGTGTATTCAGAAGAATACCGACTGCCTATCATCAATCAAACTGAGAGAAACAAAAGTAAGACCCCAAGGATTAGGGCCCATATAGACATGAGTGAAAGACCACGGCTAGTGATCATTTAGCCAATTGCTAGGCCTGCTGTGCCTGAGAAGGATTGTGCTGCTGATAGTTAAGAGGCCTCCTGAAGAGCATGATGTGGGGCTCTGGCCTATGGATTGCATAGTGTACCCATCCTCGTGATTGTTCCACCCCGATAGCCCTCCATTCATTCTGCAAGCAAAAGACACGTGAGCTTAAAAGGGAGACACTTCGAAGCTCTAAACAGGAAAATATGGACCATAAGGCCTGCAAAATTTCATAGAAAACATGTAAATTTTGAGTTCTAAACAGGAAATCTCAAACCTGAAAAATGTGGGGGCACTCTACACACTACCTAATTTTTAAAAGTTCTCAAACTAAAACCTAACGATCATTTAAGAACATGGTTCACTGTAGGTCTAATGGCATTGTCTTTTGGATGATGAGCTTTTAAACATTGAAAGATTTCATTGATTGTCAAAACCAAACCATGCAAACCTACCCCCTTTTTTTTATATATTTTGGTGATTTGTTTCAGATGGGTTTAGAAAATGTACCGAAATGCAAATGAAACAAGGCAGAGGTTACTGATATTTCCATTCCTAACAAATTTAATATGAATGAAAGTTAACTCGAATAGTTGAAGTCAAATGAATAGCTACACAGATATAACTCAACCATAACAAAATATCAAAACACAGAATGGACAAAAAAATAGTGGTGAACTATTCATCCATGCACACAAAATAACTCCAAAAACAGAATAATTCTGCCAATATGCATGATTTCAGAGATTTGTCGAATAGACTAGAGCACACTAATTAAAATGGAAAAAGCAAGTTTATTAAAAAACCTCTGAATTCAGATATCAAAACAACTAAAACATCAAGTTTATACAATATCAATTCACGAACACATGAACATCAAGACGAAATGAGAGGTTAAAAAAGGAAGTGATTTGACAAACGAAAAAGCATTGGCAGGAATGAAGAGAACACCGAGAAATTACAAAACAAAAAAAGTGCAACTGGAATTGTAAGCACCATCCCATTAGGGCTAAAATTTTGATTCTGCCAAAATGAGGTGCAACATGTAGCAAAATTTTTCAAATAAAAAACATATTATCTAATTCCAATTTATAAGTAAAAGGTCAAGTATGAATAACCAAAAGGGTGATTTAAATGAACATTTTGGATTCCAAGAAACAAACAGAAAAATGACCAAAGAGAAATGAAGCATTTCAATGGACTCCATAAAAGATTAAAAGCGACCCAATAATGAAAACTTGGTCATCTTTCATGAATTAATAAGATTGACGGAAAGCAAAAAGAAACAAAATAAATATTGACAAAGAGCACACCAAAATAATGCTGAAACTCCACACTAAGAAATTAAAATACCTAAGCACCACTATGGCTGGTACTTTCAGATAACTGTCATAGAATTCTGGATATTGTCTTTAAAACATCTTGAATCACTTCCCACTTTCTTCCAGTGTTTCAGCAGAGTGACTTACTCACCCAAAACTGTAATATCCCCTCCTTTTCCACATAGAAGTAAACGAAAAAACATATGAAAGGTTGTCACCTTTTAATTTTGGCATAATCATCACAAGCTCCTTGAATTATGAGTGATGACCCAAAGTCCAAGAGGAAAATAAATAGAACTTCAACATTATAGTCCGAGTCATTTGAATCTATTGATTTGCTTTGTAATAACTAATTATCAGTGCCTCTAGCTTCCCTTTCCAATTTTCGTTTCTAAAATACTGCTACACATCAATTGGTTTAAATATCACGAGCAAACATCAACTGAGAATAACAAATTGGGTATTGCAAATCCAGTTATCTAAAATCAAATTCTAGAAGTAAAAGGAAAAATATCACTTCCACAATTAATACGGATAAATCATATCATAAATCCCAACAATAAAACTGAGCAACTATGAAAGCTACAATCAACCATAGATAAAGAAAACATTCCAAAAACATTTCCAAATTATTTTGATAGTGACAGCCCAACCGTAAATTTATCTAGAAAAGAGGAGTTAGACTTAAGAAATAGAACAATTCCCAAATAAATATATGATAACAATTAATAATTGTTGGATACCCAACAATAGAAAGTATCAGCCAAAAAGATTAAAAAAAGACTCAAGGCAAATTGACCATTTTAAGAAGAATAAACGCACCCTGAAATTTAAAGGAATAATTCCAGAGATATCTCCCAAAGAAAAATGTAAATTATCAACAACGTACAGAGACATATGGAGAGCGAGGAAATAACGAAAAACATAGATGGAAACAAAGAGCATAAACCTGAAGGCCCTCTTCTGTTACAGATGGCCAGAGAACACTAAGAAAAGCTGGAGCATACCACACAATATTGAAGACCTCATAGAATTTTAAACTTCAATCGCTAAAGAAAATGCCTGAAGATGTGAGGCTCTGGTGTTCGCAAATGCATTGCCACAAGAAACCCTAAATCTTTCATATTTAAACATCAAAGCACCAAGAAACCCTAATTTTTCTTTGAGTGGAACAATCTCATGAAACTATAACCGAATTCTTGAATTTCCGTGATTAGTTTACCTCATTCAGAAGCCGATTCTTTGGAAGCAATTTCGCAACATCAGGTGGGAGGACAACGTGCCTGCAAAAACGAAGCCTCTTGAACATAACTCATAGAAGAAAATACATAATGAACAATGTCGATCAAGAGCGAGAGTGGGCGATGGAGATGGAGATGGAGATGGAGATGGAGAGTTAATAGAGAGAGAGAGAGAACCTGTATTCGTAGTTATCATCAAAATATTTCTCTGAATATTGGATCTGACCCATTTTCTTCTCAGTTTGACTCTAAGATCTGTAAAAGCAAAAAGAAAAATGAAGATTGGAGAACGAATTAAACAGAGAACTTTTGCTACAATATCTCAAATGATGAACAAGACAAAAAAAAAAAAAAACAAGCAGAAAAATAGACAAAGATCAAAACAAATTGGGGGCAGATAGAGAGAGACGAAGACTGAGTGAAAAACTACAAAAATGAGACACAAGGGGTAAAGAGAGAGACCTGAAAATCAAAGAGGGCCACAGTACCAGCACCAAAAAAGTGAAAGCAATTGAGATTTTGAAGGTAGAGAGAGAGAGAGAGCAAATGAGGTTTGTAGAGAGAGAGCACCAAAAAGTAATAGCAATGGAGATTTTATAGAGAGAGACAGAGTATTTGAGAAAGGGAAATAAAGGCAAGAGGGGAGGGGTAACGCCACTTCTTTCCGCGAGGCAATTTCAATTTTCAAATTCTATGCTTTGTTTATCTCTCTTCTCTTGCTCCTCTTTTGCATCCTACTCAGGGAAGGTTTAAAGTACCCTTCAATTAAAAAAAAAAAGACAAGGTGTGGTTGGTATAGAGCTTTGGCTCTAAACAATCAAATTAGAGGCAATCCTCAAATAGTGTTGAAAATTGTGGTTTCAATATTGAAAATTTTTATGATAGCTTTAAAATATGTTTTTATTTTTATTTATAAAATTTAATACTTAAAAAGTATTATAAATCGATATATCTATGAAAATCTAAAAAATTGACCGTCCAAAAATACATTATAAAATACACAATTTCCAAAATTTGAAATCCATTTTTTTCTCATGTGCATGATGTTGAGCTTATCAATTTGAAAATATTAGGTAGGATCTAATTTGATGGTTTAGAGCCTCGGCTCTATATAAACTTTTCTCGAAGATAAAAAAAGTTGTAAAGTTCCCTCGCCATAAAACCTGAGCCATATCAACAGCCATTTTAACTACCATATGTATATACATTAGATACCCATCAATATATATATA